TTTTCCTAGGCAGTCAAACAGAGCTAAAGAAATGCTGCAGCTACTTGACCAGAGATTATCCCCGAGGTACACAGACTTGTGCAGATGCTTCAGGCAGGGGTTGCAGGTAGGAAGGTGTTTTGCTGTGCTCTCAGCTCATGTGGTTTCTCACCGAGCAGTCTGTTAGGTGTGCTGCCAGCGAGAGGTGCTGTGGCAGAGCCCATCACAGAGTGGTGCTGTGGCAGAGCCCTTCACTGTGCCTCTGCCTGTGTTTATCCAGGGCCAGTAAGTCGGCAGGAGTAGCACACAAAAACACATTCCTGCGGCCTGGCATGTGGGACAGGTTATGCAACGGGAGAGTGTAATTAAATCAAGTTACAGACAAGCCAGGGATGTTTCCTTCTCCTGTTCCCACCACTCCTGGGAGCTGCTGTTTTCCTTTCAGCCACAGGATCGGTACTGGGGCAGCACTGACCAGTTCTTGGATTTTCCCTGTTCAGTGGGCTCAGTTGCCCACTGCAGTGAGCACAGCTGCTCCTGCAGCCAAGAGCCCACTCACTGGCAGCAGAGGAAAAATCCCACAGGGACTGACACAGGCACCAACCAACATTCAGCTGCAGGGAGGCTGAAAGTACATTTTCTGCTAAGATAGTTTGGCAAAGTCACTAGGAAACATCCCATTTTGTCAGCTAACATGTTGCCACCAAACCCAGACCCTTCTGAACTCACTTCTTACTGATGCAGCTGGTAGAGGGTTATTGTCACCTGCCACCTCACCATGGAGCAACCAGTGAAGTAAGGCAACACCTATTTTAAACTGGCCAAGGGACAAGCAATGCCAACCTCCTTTTAGTGGGCAGATCCATGAAGCACAATCTAACCCTGCACCACAGCTTTGGGCAGTCCACATTGATTCCACCCTCCTCTGGAGCCAAGAGGGATCTCTAGTAATTTAGCAGCTTCACTTCTAAGATCCACTGTACCAACTGCATTGCAAGCACCAGCTGTGTTGCTTATTTCAACAAAGATTTATACCTGGATTTTAGCTAAATGCAAACTCCATACTCAGTAAAATAATAAAATGTGCAATAAGCATAGACAGAAATGCAGGGGAGGGTGAGGCTGCAGACTGGGTGCTCCAGCTCTTGTACACTGAGTGGAAGTGTTTTGAGAGCAGCACAGAGTCCCAGCAAAACCTTTCCATCTGTGGACTCTCTACCAGCTGGAGTTTGACTAAACCCAGTCTCTAAGAGTGAGAGAGTTGAAGTATTTAGTATTTAAGCTCCCCCCAAATGATCTTTCCAATACAGCTGCATGGGGTATGTATTTTTTTATTCCAAGTTCCAATTTTCATACATTTTTTTTCCATTATGTGACTGCAGCACAGCCCACATCTGACTCTAGCTGCTCACCATTTTATAGATGTCTCTTTAGAATGTCAAAGCTGAACAATTAGGGGAATGAAACAGGAAGGAAAACACTTCCAAAAATAACCAGAACAAGAGACTGAATAAGCACTGTCCTCCACCAATTCATTTTGATGGTAGGAAACATTTGGGAATTGTGGTATGTTGAATAGCAAGAC